ATGCAATAGAATTCCAAACTGGCAAATGAGCACTTCATCTGGCGATTTTTCCCTCACAAACAGACTTCCACATCCAGACACTGTGATTTGTCTTGATTGCATTCTCTCCCTTTGCATTCAGACCGAATGCAGACAATAGAAATGCAGAGCGTGTAGCTCGTGCGGTGAATGCAGATGGTGTGGGCTCACCATTAGGACCCAAATCAGGTGTGCTCTCCCAGGACCTCCTCTCTGCTTGGCGTTTTCTGTGTGGACAAAGACAAAGAATAGAAGTTATTACATGGAAGGCAAAAAAAAAAAAAAAAGGCAGGGTTTTATCTATCTATCCATCTATCTATCTATCTATCTATCATTTTTTTTTTTTTTGGTATCATCCCTGTGGTTTCCTGAGATCTGATCATCACGAGCAGACTCTTGGTTGCTGGTCCTTTTTGTAGCAAAGTTAGACACAGACATGTATAAGAAAGCCACCCATTTCTCAGCTGTCTGTCCTGCGTTCGCCAGCCATAGAAGGAAGCCTGTTTCCTTTTTTTTTTTTTTTTTTTTTTTTTTGTCAGTTTGTTTGTTTTGTTTGAGACAAGGTTTCTCTGTGTAACAGCCCTGGCTGTCCTGGAACTCACTTTGTATATCAGTCTGGTCTTGAACTCACAGAGATCTGCTTGCCTCTGTCTCCTAAGTGGATTAAAGTTGTATGCTACACTGCCTGATAGAAGCCTGTTTCCTTTATCTTTTTAACCCTGACATGGGACCTTGTCCAGTCAAACATTCCCTAGCAGTGTCTGTTCAGTGATCTGCACATGACCAGGGGACCAAGCTCAGGCTGAGACAGACTTTCCAGAAAAAAATCTTGGGAGGAAAAACACCAACAGAAAGAAGGCAGGGGGCCGAGCTCCAGTAACCTGCGGCTCTAGAAAGCATCCGATGGGCACAGTTCAGAAATAGCCCATCATTCTCTGAGCCATCAGAGGGTTTTCAACTCCAGGTAGCCCATAGAGTTGGTTGTTTCCGGGATATGTGTGCCGAGGAAGGTGAGCCGTTCTCCCACAGCCCTGGAGGTGGTGTCTTCCTTCCCTGCGAGGATGGTAAAGCTAACCACTGTGCCACCTCAGCACTTTCTAGATACCTTTATCCACAGACAGGTGCTTGCCCTAGAGATGTTCAAAAGTGCTTTGGGCCCTCTTAAGTGGCAGCATAGACCGTTCTTCAGAACGTCTCAACTGTAGCCCATAAGAGGCCTTTTTTTGTATTTGTGAAGTGTGGGGAGGCCAACAGCTAGGAGATAGGGCCATTGTAAAGAGAGTCTATGACTCGGAGTTTCTAAGAAGAACGTATCATGCCACGGTGTGTGGCTACACAGAGACCCCTGGTCAGTCAGGAGGTGGAGGGAACAGGGAAACAAGAGCTTTTCTTATTATTTTCATGAGGAGGAACCAGGGAGGCAGAGGAGGCAGATCTAGGTCTGCCTGATTGCAGTAACTCAGCAGGCTCTGGGCTTCCATGCTCCCCTGAGTTCTATGGCATCAGCCTTAGGGCGATAGGACAAGCGATGGTGGTCTGGAGTGTGAAGACCACAGGAAGCCGGGGACTGGAGGTAGAGGCTATGTTGGTAGGTGTGCGGAAGATGCACTGATGGGCAGGGCATTTATTTTATCTACAGATTGGGTGGCAGGTCCCAGAGGCCAAGTCTTCAGCCCCTAGAAAACAAAGGAAAGCGTGGTCAATACATGCAGTTGCTTATAAGTAGCAATCTCTCCCTCCACTGAAGGCATTGTTGGTATTAAGAAGGAAGCTCATTTCCCAGATGAGAATTTTAATCATTGGAAAATGTGTTTAGTTAGACTTAGAAACATCTAAAAAAATCAAATATATAGGATTGATATCATGTAGCTCTGATGAGAGAAAGCAATGTCTCTCTGTATTTCTTTTTATTTTATATTGAAATAAAAATGAGCTAAAATGTTTCTGTGTATACCTCCCTTTATCAGCCTTGTTATGGGAACTAACTACCTGAAATTCAGTAGCAGTGTACATTCCTAGCAATTTAAACTTTGTATTACTAATATAATACACTTTTCAAGTTCTCATATGAGTTTCTTATAATACCCTGCGACGTGCCTCTGACTTCTGTCTCCTTTTTCACAGTGTCTGCTAAACTACGTGCACAGACACACAAAGACACAAATCATAAAATGCGCAGACAGGCTGCTGTCAAATTATATAGACATTCATTGTCCCCATCGGGAGCTTTCTCCCCTCCCAACTTGGCTGTGCACTGTGTGCCTTTATATTAAAATGTTCATAGAAAAATGGTCTTAATTCCCACAACCTTGCCAGCCATATCAATCTTCCAGGCTTTGGAACAGCACTAATGAAGGGAACAGCGGTTGAATTAATATTCCTTTGATGAATTGTGGAGGTTTCTGATACTCCATTTGTCAATGGTGACTCTCTTCAAACTGAAAAGGCTTTTGAAAAATTGTCTGGTTTTTTACTAGTGCCAGAAGGGAATGTAGGCCCTTCCGTATGCACGGTCACCACATTCTCAGCCCTTATCCCTTCACACTGAGTTATGTGAGGGACTGATTCTTAGCTAGAGGGTTAGGGAACAGGGAGTGTGCTTTGGTGGACACGGAGGAGGAGACCCAAACAGAAGGTTACTGTGTACAGGGGCTCCAGGGTGTAGTTGGCAAGAGAGTTAGAGCTGGATTCCTGGAGCAATCACTGTTGTGATCCTCATAGGCTAACTGGGGCCAGAGAACAGCCAGAGACAAACCCAATTGAAGCCAACGTGTTTCTAACTGCGGTTGAGGTCCCAGGAGAAGTTTCATGACAACACATGGAATATTAGAAGATGACAGCTTCTCTACCCATGGGGGTCAAGGTGGAGCCTGGAATCTTTTGAGAAATATGCGGCCTTGACTGCACCTCCCTTGAGGGTTCTGAGGGTAGCAAGCTTTGGTAGCTGGTAGCCTCACAGAAGGAACGGCGGAAAGCTTTACGACAATGCACAGAAAGCCAAGTGTGGCACCTCTCCATCTCCATCACCGGCCAGAAGCCGCAGTGATCTAGGCTTGTTGGAAAGCAGGTCGCACAACGGAGATGGCTGGGGATATTAGTAAGAACTTGTCCTTACAGCTATTCTTGGCAGGGTTTCCACTGTTTGCGAACACAGACACTCAAGGCACAAGTTGAGCACAACCAGCGAGCTTGCCTTGGCTTTGAGCATGGCGTGGCTTCTGAGTTGGCTGTGCGAGGACATGTTTGCAGAATCAAGCCAGAGTATATTATTAAACACAACTTAAATGCTCTCCCATTGAGAGACTGCTTTAAGAATTACCGGTAATAGCAGTAGGTTCCCCCCTGCATACTTCATTTAAGACACAACTAGCTGGGGAACGTCCAACTGTTATCACTACAAACTACAATAATCCCCATAGGGGGAAAATGGATCTTAGAGTCTGGTGGGTGGATTATCGCTATATTGAATAGGGATTCAAGTTGTATCAGACTCTGACAAAACAACCTTCGTTTTTGTAATTGCTTTACATGGAAGTAATTAAGGATGGGGAGTAAATGGAGAATACACAGAGGTCCTGAAGCATGCTGGGGGGAAAGGCGGGGGTGGGGTTGACAACACAGTCCCTTGGGCGGAAGTGCAACCCTGACATCCCTCCATAGCAAGCCTTTGCCTTGCCTGGGTGTCTGATTCCACCCTTTCCCTCTGCCTGGCTTTCCCTTTCACCCTCTCTATGGACCATGAGCTTATTCCATGCATGTCACAGGCATGTGTGATCCATGTGTAAATGACTTGGATTGGTACATGTGAATGCCTATCCATGTGCTGTTCAATGTCCTGGAGTCTTCCCATACATTTTTATCTATCTGAACCTGCTTTGGCTGCTGACTTCGGCTGGTCTTGAGTAGTCAGCAGATCTGTTGATTGGACAAAATGTAGCGGAGTGAGCACAGTGGCATGCGTTGTGAGGTCTGGGGTTAGAATCAATTCTTGTATGGAAAATAATTAAGCTATTGCTCTAGTATAAAGGTGTCATAGGCTCTATACATCTATGTACATGAAGCACACTTAGGTTTATAACGCGTTTTCATATCCCTAATCTCACTCCAGTGCCATAAAATAACAACTGGGTGTTCCCCAACACAGCCCCCAGCTGTAAGCAGATGTAGATGCTCAGAGAAGTGAGGGAGAGAGTGAAGATAAGAAACTCAGATCTCCAAATTCTCAACATGGCTCTAAGTCCCCAGAGAAACAACTGTCCTGGATTCGTGCCAGGAGTTCAGGGCTAGGGTCCTCTTAACGTGTGCACAGAACCCCGGGTCCTGGGGGCGGCAGTGCAGGTGCAGAAAGTGGAAATGCAATCAGAATCCTCACACGCTGGTGGTGACGGACACAACATTGTGCGGCCACTTTGTAAATCACTTTGCAAATCGGTTTAGTTGCTCCAAATGTTAAGCCCGGGCCTCCCCTAGGATTTGCCAATGTCACACAAGAGCAAAGGAGGCGTGTGTCCCCACAAAAACGTGGGCATGTGTGTTCACAACTGCATTGTTCTTATTAGTCAAAGAGTCCCAAATCCTCAAAAGGTGGAGGGACAGATAAACAGTGCGTGCCATGTCTGTACCCTTTCGGCTCACTCAGCAAGGAGAAGGAAGCATCAGTACGCATGGCAGTGAGAGTTAGCCTAAAGACAGGATGCCAAGTGCAAGTCATGAATTACATTGGCCGCACTTGGGTGGAATGCCAAGGTCTGTTAGCTCAGAGTGGAAAAGTAAATTTGTGGATGTCTGGGACCGGGAGTGGGGGAAATGGGAGAGAAATACTAACTGGGGCGAGGGAAATGTCTTAACGTCAGGTTATAGTGATGATGGCAACGCCCTAAACGTACTGAGACCCACTGAAGTTACACATTTGGAATGGATGTGAATCCAAGTCCAACTGAAGCCGTTAAACTACAGAATGCCTCTGCTTCTCCTAACTCCAGGTCCAGCTTCTGTCATCAGCAATGACGATGACTCGGCCAGCCCGCTCCACCACATCTCCAACGGGAGTAATACTCCATCTTCTTCAGAGGGCGGTCCTGATGCTGTCATTATTGGAATGACCAAGATTCCTGTCATCGAAAACCCTCAGTACTTTGGCATCACCAACAGCCAGCTCAAGCCAGACACATGTGAGTACATCTGTTTGTACTTATTGACCCATTTGCTGCATAGCTGCTCTGACGATTCTGTTTATCAGGGCCTCTGACAAGGCGGGCTGGGGATGGGGTCCGTGGACTATTGGAGGATTCTTGCACTTTTTGGCCCACGGCTAGATTCTTGCATTGCTTACTTAAGGGATTCTCAGGGTTTGGCTCCTGCTGGGCTGGGAACCGTGGGCAGATATGGACTTCTCTTGGAATCCATTTCCCGCAATCATTTGTCAACATGAAGCTATAATCAAGCACACTTATCTGGAGAAGGATGTAGACAAAAAGCAGAAGTGTCACCAGAATGCAGATACATAATTTATAGTTGGCAGGCAATTGGTGTAACTTAAATCTGGCTTATTGAAAGCAATTAAAGCATGCATTCTAGGCAGTCAGAAAGGCTCCGTGTTTTATACAGGTGGTATTGATTTGGGGGTCATTCTGTGCTCTTTTCTCGTCCTGATTCCTAGCATGAGGCCTTGTGATGTCACAGCTGTTACATCAAATGTTATGAGTATGAGAAGGAGGAGGACCTTTCACCTTTAGTAATTATGCTAGCCCCTCAGTCAGCTTCTGCGGGCAAGCTTAGGCCCTTTTCCCTAACTTCCGAACCACTGACCAGATACAAAGTATGGAGCAAGCCCTTAAGAGAAGCAGAAACCTCCAATCCTAATGAGTGCACACAGGCATTCTCTCATGGATGAATAAGAGGCTGTGGGGGCTAGGATCTCAGGTGTCCTTGATTCCAGGGCTCCCTGGTCCTGATGAGGTGGCTGTCCTCTGTCTACTACATCCCTGTATCCTGCCTACTAGTAAGTGCTGCTTTGCCGCACCGTCTCAGAAGCTAAGGAGGACAGTTATAAAGTTAGGTTTGGAGAGTGATATTTTGCTGAAAACCCATTGCATAAAGCTTAGCAATAAGATATTTCTTATATAAGGGAGAAACGATCATTTCTTTCTATTCATTTGCATTTATTTCAAGGTATGCTTAAGATTGGAGCTGGGACCAAGCATCAGAGTTAACGTTGTTATAAGTTTATGTGAGATTGTGCCTCACTGAAGGTGTTAGCTGAATTCGTTACATGGCAGGACAAAAGGAGACTTAAGGGTTAGGAAAGTCCTTGAACATTGACTGTTATTCAAAATCATGGTGCTATTGATTCTAATAACTATGGTATGACCAAGTTAAGAGGAGATACTGTTTAGAGTTAGGTATTCCTTCTGGTGGTCGCATTGCCTAGGATCCTTGTCTATATATATGAGAGTCAAACAGGAAGACAAAACAGATACTGTGGAAAGAGAATCTGGGGTGTCTCCCATTGTCCTCCCTAGGAATATCTTATTATCAGGACTAGGGTGTGTGCTGTATTTCTATCATCTCCAGGCTGGATAGCTGAGGCTAACTTCAATTAACACAAAGTTTGCTTTCCTTTTTGATGGAGAAGTAAGGCTGAACCATCAGGCAGAGACCATTGGTCCAATGTGTGCAATAAGAATGAATGAACAAAAGGAATAATAGACACATTATTGTGGATGGAGAGAGCCACAGGGTCTCAAGCTTACACAAAGAACTACAGACAGCTATGGAGCACTGAGAGTGAGAGATAGTCTACCCCAGGGAAGAGCACACCGAGTGCTTATCCAGTACCAAGTGATCAGACCTCAGAAAATAAAAAGAGAAAAATCCCTTCATTTAAAGGGATGGTGATTGTGCAGAGGAAGTGGGTGGGTGGCTGCAGGGTTTGTGACCCCAGAGTCCTAAGAAAACGTTCGCAGAAGCCACATCCTCAATCTAGACACCACAGAGATTTTAGGAAACAGTTTGGTTATTTCTGGAGGCCTTTTGATTTGTGGCTCAGTCATGTTGTGTCCCCCACACTTGGGTCTGTAAGAGAGTTATGGGACCCCCAGCTTTCCCTCTGCTTCCAGCCTCCTGCCTGGGCCATAGACCACCAAGTCTCTTTGGCTAGTACTTCCTTACAATGTCTCACTGAGCCCTCCACCCACACACCCTTCCAGGCCCAGTGCAGTAGCCTCAGACAAGCCTTACCTGCATAATCTAAAGCTAACTTTCCCCAGACATTATCTTTGATGATTTTTAATAACTTTTTTTTTAAAAAAAATCACCCATCTTCCATGGATACTTGATCAAAGAAATGGGAATGAAGAAGATTTTACCCTTTTCTTCCTGCCCTTACCCTCACCCCCATGTCAACATCACCCTTTACTCCAGTATGTTCTTTAACCTTCAGTGTCTGTGTTGTCCTGTGCTCTGTGTGTGTGTGTGTGTGTGTGTGTGTGTGTGTGTGTGTCTGTCTGTCTGTCTGTCTGCCTGTAGTCCAGTTTAGGTTCAACTTTAGTCTTGGGAAAACAGCAACTTCAACTGCTAACCATAACCTAGGACAGGACACGCAGTGGGTTTTTGACATCAAACAGATGTTGACCAGATGTGACAATATATTGCTGAAGTTAGTTACCAATGAATTTGTAACAGTCTTCTCAGTCCCTTTCCATTGGTACCAAACTTGTACATGTTGATTTTATTGGATATACTTTTAACCAAGTGCTAAGCAACTTAACCAGATTTATTTAAGCATTTTTTTTTAAAAAATAAGCCTTATGAAATCTTTTCTTTGACTAAACATATTACAATCATCCCAGTTAAACTATTTCAATAATTAAGCACAGAGACTGGACGTACAGAAGGGTATCTTGCTTTAATTCTGTGAAATTCTGAAAGATTAGTTTCAGATAAGCGATTTTTATTCAATGTCCTAAACAAACTAACTTCTAATAACATCTCAAGTGGGGGAGGGCTCTTCCCAAAAGATGCATAGATAATGGCAAAAGCCAATTCAAAGGTTTGAAAGACAGCTTAGCATTTCCCTCACGCCCTTAAAACAAAAGTCAAGGGACAGTGTATCGCTGCCATCATGTTGAGTCTGTTACAGGCTTGGACCGTACATTACCATGTCTACTGGGTGTCCCAGAAGCTGTATTTTATATTCAAAGATGTTGACTTCAGACTACACATCTTTTGTCGCCAAGAGTGGCATCCCTTTCCTTTCACAGAGTTGAAAGAGTACATTCTAGAGTGCACACCTCAGTACATTAAGTGTCTGCTGATTAGACGTGGGACTTCTACGAGGGTGGGAACCAGAGAACTGGTGGCGGCAATGGCTTGATCTCTGACTGCGGTGAGACTCATCGCGCAGGCCGAACTGGATCATCGCACGATTCAGCCCAGTGTGATTAGCACTGAGACTGGCTGTGTTGCAGAAAGGCTTTGCATCCAGTTTTCAGGAATCAGGCAAGTCAGTTGGAGGAACAGGCTATCTTGAGGAAATGATATGAAATAATAAAGACCATACTGGGGCATGGGCCTGGCATGACCAAATTTCCCAGAGAAAGGAGGCATTTGTTCTTTTATTTGAGAGGCTCAAGATTTCAAATGCTAAGCAGGGCAAGTAAGAATACATTAGCATGGTTCAGATCAGGCTTCTGGACTGCTAGGGTCCCTCTGAGCTGGATCTTCAGGATCCCCTGCTGTGAACTCCTCAGTAGACACCCTTAGAAGTGGTTTGCCATAGTGAGACGGCTTCAGTACTCACACGGCTTTGCTTTACACAACAACACCATGATTAGATTAGGGTTCTTTACACAATGCATGTGATTGCTTCCGTGAGGAGCAATGAGCAATCAGGCCCTTTGACATACTTATGCACTACCAGGAACTGTGTGGTAATGTTCGCTCACCAAGTCCAGAGCTGGTTTGTGAGATTTTAGAGCGGTGTGAACAGGGCTGAATTGCTCCTGAGCACTTTCCAATAGAAAGTCTGTCTACTTTATTGCAGGGCCCAGAGGTTCCCCCAAGACCGCCTGATAATAATTTGGTATTTGGAGGCTCCTGCATCACTGCAGGAACCACAGGAGGCTAAACCCAAGCCTGATGGAGGAGAAGAGTTCTATGGTTTTCTGCAAATTCTGGCCAGACAGCATCTGGAAGTCACTCCTTAGCTTCCATAACTAGCCAAGCAAGAAGTTGCCTTCCCAGGACAAAGCAGAGTGTTCTAATGCCTAACCCCTCAAAGTGCCGTGTCAGTAAACTATAGACCATCTCCTTGATTGAGCAGGATGGCAAGATGGAGCTGAGGAGCTCAGCAACATCAAGTCTGGAGTTGGTCTTTATTCAACTAGTCTGTGTAGATGTGTCTGAAAACCAAAGCATGGGGTGGTTGACCAGTAGGATTTACAAGCTCTGCCCAAGGGCCATTGTGCTGATATCTTCTCCTTGCCTGCTGAGAAAGATTTTGACAGGGTGCAATGGAAGCTCACCTTGTGAGTTGAGAAACGGAAACAAAGCGTATTAACCAGAAAACCTCCCAAATCAGTGTCTTGAGTTGACGGGTGGAATGTGTTTTATCCACAGACTTACAATTGTTCCTAAAATCATGGTTTCCCCCATAACAGCCTTGTAATTTAGCTAGAATCATATGCCTTGTGCCTAAACTTAATTAAGATTGTCTCTAATACATACTTTGCATTGAAGAACACGCCCTCTATGCACTCCTAGGGCTAGCCACTCCCAGAAGCAGATGTATAGGACGACTTTGAATTATTTTGAAGGTTTGCTTTATTTACAACGCAATGGTCATTTCTTGCCTCCCTTCAGTGTGTGTGTCCCACATTTCTCCAGGTATTGTTGTGTGTTTCCCCGTGGATCATATGTTTATGGGACAATTGCATAGACAAGCACAGGCCCACTAACCCGCAACGATGCAGGAAATTGGGCGTTCTGGAGAGAGTGGTTGTCTGAACAGTAGTTGAAAATGTCAGAGAGTCTGAGTCCTGTTCCTCTCCACTGCCATGTCCACTTTGTCTTTCTACTGCCAACAAAGGCAAGCAAGAGTTTTCACAAAACTGCAGAGGTTTTCAGCACATTTGGAAAAGCGGCTTTGAGTTCACCGGAGCAAAAGCTCTGG